GAACCCGTATTGTTCTAACTAATGAATAACGAAACGAGGGAAAATACTTCTGTTTTTATCTAGTAAAATGTCCTTTGAAATTGTCTTTCATGTAACCTTAAAATAATTGTTACAACTGAGGTTGTCACCAGACCGGAATCGTAGAGTCTTATTCAGTATTCAATATTAAAACTATTCCAAACCTTGTGATGACAAGCGCAATAGACGTCTGATTAAGGAATCTGGTTGAATAGCTTCAACAAACAAGAAAGCAAACTTCATAATTTTATCAAAGATTTTAATTTTGATTATAAAAGCTGTTCACACTTTCTAATATAAATAATACATGGTTTTAATATAACGATCTATCTAACTTAAAACAATAATACTTTGAAGTCTCAATAAGTGATTTTCACAAAGTCCATCAAAAAGTAAACACCACATGATTCTTTGAAACGTTAGACTAAATTACTACTATATTCTACTTATTAGCAGAGAACAGAATTTGTTTTCTTACTGGTATACTATTTCTAAAGATGGTTTTTTTAATAATAGTCAATTGATAGAGGTTAAGACAGTAATATATGATACCAATTAACATTACATAAGATCTGATACCTTAAATATTTTTTTGTAAAATCTAGTCACTAATTCCCATTAATGTGTAACACTTGAATATGATTATTTTCTAAATATATATCACATAAATTTACTCTTTATTTCATTCTCGAAACCCTCCTCCACCTTAACTGACGTTTGGTATTTTTTATAGAGAAATAAAAACAAGAATTATGATTAGTAACCGCATTTCATTAACAAATGCAAGTTTAGTATGCAAGTAACTTTAATATTCAAATTCTATAGTTTATTATAAATTATTTTATGTTATACATGGTTTTTTTCTAAAGATTTACTATTAAAGAAATTACTGATAGAAGTAGTATTGTGGTGTGGGTTAATTATATCCACAGATACCAGCGGGGGCGGTCAGATGCGGATAGGTGGCATCGAGTGGAGTGCTCTGGCGGAGCGGCGTTGGTTGTAGCGGGTGCTGTCGACGAAGGAGAGCGATAGGACGCGAGGATGCTGGCTTAGCAGGCCTCTGGAGCGCAGGCGTTGGACGTCCCAGGTTCCGGGAGGGTGTCGGATTTTGATGCCCTGGCCGGTCGACAGAGCTATAGAGGTCAGCGCGCCGCAGACTCGACATTTTGACGGAAAGTGTGGCACGGACTCCGGAGAAAATGAAAATGGCACGGCGATCAGAACCACCACTAGAACGAAAGCTTCAAAGGGTGAATGAGTGTGGTGTGGGTTACTTATATCCACATAAGTAGTATATAATAGTGGTCAGGCATAGAATGTATTTCATTAGAAGATCCATAAGGAAAGAACGGGAACAGAAGGTAATCGGTATGAAAATGCATAAACAATGAAATCTGAGACAAGGTAATGATATTTACGAAAGGAACAGTGAAGTTTGTATTGATGGATTGATATTTTGCAAATTAACTATTCACTATATGGTTATCATATTTTAGTGAGATGCTCTGTAATTTCGCATCCAATACATTCGATTGTCCCTACTAGTGTTCTATTCACTACAGTACAATGGGGAGCAATTAATGAAGTAGGCTGAAAACCATGATGAGTTAAGAATAGGTTTGTATTTTTTTAAATTATAATTATATAATGTGCTTTATTCAGATAACAAATTGTTAGGTCATAACGTATATCACATGCATGACAATGGAAAACCTTCCATAGTTTTTATTAAAATTGACTTTTTCACCATCAGATATATTTTTAATTAATGTTAAGTGAAGTAATCGAAAGTACAAAATTAATTAAATAGATGAATATTTTAAGAGAATTTCTTGAAATGTCATTGACCTACTTATTTATTATTATGAATATAAGATGAACTTATAAAAGATTAACTCATAGAATTATTTACCTAGAAGTGAAACGTTTCATAGTTTATCATTAAATTTAAACGATCTTAAGTTTATACCTTAATAATTAATTGTGTTATAAATTAAGATCATTACTAGTATTTAAGTTGGAATAAATTCATTAGTGACAATACAATGATAGGGATTTGTTTTAATTTACCTGAAAATTAACTTGACAATGATCGGACTCATTCACTTTAGTTCTAAAGACACAATAGTTTATTATTGAAACAAAAAGAATTTTGTTGTCGAAATAGGGTTTTGTGGAGATTTTAGTAAGGTTATAGTTAAATTCATGAGTCAATTAAAGTTAGACCACAATGGGAAACCTAGAAGAACTGGATGGCCTTTTCGTCCTACTAGGGGACTCTTCAGCAGTGTGCACTCGAGAGACAGTTAAGTCCTAGGTTCGAGTAAAACGGAGTGGGATCGTAGATGTGCACTGATGAGAAGTCCCATACTATGACGAAATAGCCGTCCAGTTCTTCTAGGTTTCCCATTTTGATCTGTAGCCTCACCAAAGTTACTGCCGATCACAAGCCCGGATAAAGAAGAAGGGTTGAGAATGGAGTCAGGAACCCTATCCTGTAGAACACAAACTTGATAAATGAACACAAGCCAGAAAGTACAAAATAACGATTGCTTTCATCATGAATAATAATTATGTTAAACAGTGTAAAACAAAGTAGATCAAAGGACAATGTCACATGAGAGCGAAGAATAAACGTGCACGGTTTGTCTGAATTAGCCACTGAATTATATTTTTCAATAAGGATGTTTTCCACTGAAATCGCGATTCTATCTGAGTAAGGCAACTATTGAAAACCTGGAAATACTGAAAAGCCAGTTTGTATTTTTATAGAACTCTTCAGCAGTGAGTATTCACGGCTTCGAAAGCGGTAATCCAAAGTCAAATCAAGCATTTGCTTATGCGACCGAAAATTCTAGGTTTGATTCTTGCTTGCGCAGTCATAAATACTCACTGTTGCGGAGTTCTATACTGGCACAAAACGTATTTCCAGTACTTCCAAATTTTCAATGGTTGTCTGAGTATGATTAGTTTGTTATTTCAATGAAATTCAACAACCTTCATAATCTAATATTGGTAAATACTTGGTTTCTAAAAAGTCACGATATATTTTGATGTTGAATACGTAATGATCAACCAAGATGTATTAGCATAGCTTAGTTTTGATTCATGTTTTGAAAAGTCGACTTCGGTGGCTCAACATGTTCTACTAATGTTGTCCCAGAGAATTCCACGCCGTGCATTATTCATCGACACTAGGACTGGTTGAAAAAAGCGGAGAGGTAAACAGTGTATGACATAGTCAAATCCGGCGGTGATCCTACTGTAACTTTCTTTTACTTTCTTGATAAAAAACGGACGTAACTTCTTTAACTGGAGGAATTCTTTCTGTCTGTACTTTCACTAACTGAACTACACCTACCATTATTATTATTTCACACTCATACACAAATTTTCGCTCGTTATTATGCTCCACTTTCCTATACGCACTTCACATTCACTATCTCTTCAAATTCTCATTGTTATTGTGTGGTGCATGTGTATTTGGTGCCCCTTTGTACCAATATTTATGTGTTCAAGTGAATAAGTTTTACTTCAAAATATATTTCTAGTTTTCAGTAGGGAGAATTCAAGGGAATAAAATTCTTGTCAATCAAACTCACAACAATGAAGAATTACGTTCGGTTTAGAAACAAGGGTGTTTCACTACAATAGCAACTTTATTTTAAGAAGCATTAAAAGTATGATATTTATCAAACGAAATATGTCTAGATGCAGATGAATTAAAAATTCACATGTTTCTAGCTATGGTGTATAACTAAGAAAAGAATATTCAAATCGTCTGGTTTACTCTTATGACAGAATAGTAACATTTAAATTTACCCTGACGATTCAAGTATTTTTATGATAATCTGAAAGTTCCTACATATTCATACGATTATGTATCATTATACCTAAATTGATTTAAGTCTATTAACATTCCAAAAGGATTAAATAATTAGCGAAATTGTTTTTTTACAACTGTACTGGATATACTGAAGGTGTTATATGTGAAAATTGTAATGAACATTGAATTTTGCTGTCCATTAATCTAATTCAATCTAAACAAGGAAACAACTGTCAGAAGTAAATAGAATATTTGACAATAAAAGAAAATAACATCACTTTAGAAAATATATAGTTGTAAACTAATACATTATAGGCCTTTTACGATTATTCCTATTACATCACATGTTCAAAAGTATAATTCATGACAATAAGAATTTGATCATGTGAGACTATATTGATATATTTTTAAGTAGTCTAAACATTACAAACTTATCTGCCTGGTATCAACAGTAGATTACATCATGAAAGAAAACAACTATATGTGTTTGTAAATACAGATATGTCGTGTAGCAAACGAGTAATTACAAATGAATATTATAAGGTGTTTTGTGGAAATTATAGTGATTTTAATAGTTGAGATCATGAGTCAGTTGGAGCTAGACCGCCATGGAGAACTTGGAAGCACTAGACGGCCGTTTCGTCCTAGTATGGGACTTCTCAGTAGTGCGCATCCAAGATGCCGCGTGAGGAACTCGGACCGAATACTTTAAATCTTGCGTGCGGATGCTTAACCTCTAAACCACTGAACCGGCAACCAACGATGTTAATGTCTAACTTCGACCAATCCATGAAATTGAGCCATAGTTCATCATTGTCTTCAGTGAGTTACTATCTCACAACAGACCCAGTTGAACTCCATTGGTCATTGGTTCTTACTGGAACTCTAGGAAATACCTTTTAAAGCCAATCCCACAATAGGACGAAAAGGTCGATCAGTGCTTCCAGGTTCTCCATAGTGGTCTTGCTTCAATTGACTCATGATCTCAATTATTAAAATTACTATAAATAAATATGTTTCTAACAGCTATTTTCCTCAGTTTTCTCTTTTATTCCATTCAACTTCAAAGGGAACAATAACTATTGAATGTTTCATATATATTTCAAATATAATAACAAAACTATTTAACATAAATATTTATAATTTCACTTACAAGTAGTTATGTTACTTCATTCATGAAATAATAATACAACTAAGAATTTTTTAAAAATATCTACTGTTATTCAGTAATTCAAATCACATTAACCATTTGTGTATTATTTCAGTTCAATCATATAATCCACCGTTTAATAATACATATTTGTAAAGTTATTAGTATTTCTATTGATATTAATGAAATTTCTGTGTCATAAATGAATCAAACGAAGATTATATTAGTATAATCATTGTTTTAACTAGTTAGTTAGTTCAGATATTTTGATTGGTTTATTGAATACTTTACACCTGATTGGTTATAGTTTCATAACAAATCAGTTCATTATAAATATATATTACTGAATAATGAAAATACCTTAGATTAACTAATTGACTAAAAAATTTATACAAATTAGTTTCTATGTTTGTTTCTTTTTTAAATCATTAAAAAGAAATGAAACATTATTTCAAACAAATATGGTATAAGTTCACTTGTTATACATTCAATTAGGTATATTAAAACAATAAAGTATGAATTTCAAAGTATGTTTCCTAGTTAACTTACTCAATATACTCAATGTACGTTGAAATGTATTGTACTGTCGTTACACTTTTTTTTCAGGCTAAACAATAATTTATTCAACTATACATTATGTAACAATATTTCATTTTAGCCAAAAAGCAGACGATATTTTAGATATCAATTTTTAATAGTTGAATTAATGAGTCAACCAATCTAGACCACCATTAAGAATCTGGAAGCACTGGACAACCGTTTCGTCCTAGTATGGAATTTCTCAGCAGTGCGCATCCATGATCTCGGGTACGAAGCTCGAATCCAAGACGTTCGATCTAACGCGCGAACGCTTAAACTCTAAACCACTGAACCGGCATTCAACGGTGTTAATGTCTAATTTCAATCGATCAATGATTTCATGCAATCATTCATCCATTGTCTAAGATAGATACATTTCTCTAACCAACGATGATTGGACTCCAATGGTCACCAGTAAGCACATGATGATTATTATCAGAAAGTGGATCCGGCTTCAAAATATATTTCCTAGAGTTTTAGTGGGAAGCCATAACCAACGGAGTTCATTCAGTGTCAGTTATAGACTGGTATCTATCATCCAGTACTTCCAGACTCTTAATGCACGTCTGAATTGATGGACTCATGAATTCAATTGTTAAAATTGCGACAATCTCCACAAACCCTATTCTCATAGTTAGATTTCACATTTATTTCACTGAACATACTGCCCTACTGACATTTGCATTAGTCAGTAAATTTAACATGAATACTTTGAAACGGTCATTTCACTCCATAATTTTAACTACCAATATGACAATCACTAGAAATACTGTATACAAAACCGATTTTTAGATGTCAATACTAATGAAGTATAAAATAACTTTGATTAAAGCATTATATCTGAAATACAGTGATAACCATAAATTTTATGTAATGGTTCTTAATTTTCCTAATGTGAAACCTGTTCATTCCATTTTTTAAAACAAACAAATTATCAAATTAAACTACAGAATATTATTTTCAACTTTTGATAAATCATCTTATTGACTTTGTTATAGATACACTAAATGAAAACCATTCTATGTACAGTCTCCATAAAGTTATGATTCCAATGGGTTGAAGTTTGATTAAGTTTTGTAATAACCCTTATGTTCATCACTAAGATTCTACATCCACGATTAATACATATATTTGAGATCCTGTGTTGTTAAACAACATTACTTACCTCAGCACGTGGTTGAGGCTCCATCCGTCAACTTTTTCAAAAGAAAGTTGGATCAAGTGAGAGACCATCATTGCCAGGACTAACACAGGCCATCAAGTGTCCTGTCTTTTCCAAACTGAAACTTAATCTTCTTCACTCAAATTACAAGTATAATAAACATCAAATAATTCCAAGTTATGATTTTCAAGGAGGTTAAAAAACACTTTCATTACAAGAAAATATAACCATCTATAAACTTAAGAATGAACCTAATAAATAATTTGGTTTGCAAGTATACTATCTTTGTAATAAAATAATGAATACATTTAAACAAGGAGACATACTTATAAAAATAACAAGATTGAAACATTGTAATTCAGTGTTCTGGGGTTTTTTTGTAGTGATCGTGTAAAATGGTTGGTAAAAGTAACTGTTGTATATATTTACTATTAATTTATTGCTTATTCTGGCTACTATGATGTAAACAAAAAAAAGAGAGATAAAATGCAGAACACACTAATTGTAGCAGAGTATCAATGTTGTTATACTTTATTAGTTTAATTGGAGACAACATAGATTTTATTGTATATTTAATTTCTAACTTTATATCACACTGCAAATGTATTTTATCATACTAATTCTATGAAATTTATTATTATTTATACGAAAACATGGGATTTTACATACTACTGATTTATACTACTATTGAGGAGAACAAGCACTTCAAAGAATGTAAACTGGGAATTTGTCTAGTGTAATCAGTTAATTCCACAAGAACTATCTCAAATATCTTGTTACTAAAACATAATTTTGAGTAAAATCTATCAGTAAGAATTTCGTGAATTGAAACATTAAACTAATTAAAAAATAACGACCACTCAAATGAGTTCTACAATCAACCGTAATTATTTTTGTCCTAACAAGTCTTTAATGAAAGAAATGATGCATTATGACATACCAAGCGGTAAAAAAATACACAAGCAATCCATTTTGTAATAGTAATTAGTACACAATGGAGAAACTTGTTCATGAAGAGATTCATTTCCCAGTGGGCACAATGTAATAAATTTAAAACAGATCACTGATTATCGTCTTTGTTGAAATACTTATAATATCAATAGTCAGAATATGATTTATCCTTTACTGATAAGAGGTGCCAAATAAAGTAATGGACAAACCTATAAAATACTGTGGACAGATATAAGAAACAACAACAACACGATACTTGGACAGCTATTGTTTGGTGAAAGAACTTGTAAATATATATATATTCACTGTGTATTTTTTGAACCGGGTCAGTTGTGAGATAGGAACTTACTAATGACAATAGTGTATGTGTTGCTCAATTTTGTGAATTAGTTGAAGTTAGACATTAACACAATTGGATATCGGCCGGCTCAGTAGTATAATGGTTAAGCGCTCGCTCGCTCGCGAGACTGATAGGTTCTGAGTCCGAATCCAGCTAGGCGGATGGATGCGCACTGTTAAGGAGTCGCACAATAAGACAAAACGGCCGTCCAATGCTTCCAGGTTTTCTATGGTGGTCTAGCTTCAAATGACCCATGATCTCAACTATTGAAATATTTTTCAAAGTCTTAGTATATTATTTTTCATTTGTGTATTTTTAATTATAGTTTAATTTCCCGCTCCCTTAGTTAACGTTACCTTTTTTATAAGTACCAAAATTAAGATCATTTGTCTATTAAAATTTCACTTGGCTGTGTATTGAAATTACTCTGTTTATGTATCCAAATAACTGATGCATTTTGTAGACGATCTTCAAATGACAACATTAATGTGTTCAAATTCTGTCATGGATGAAGAATTTAAGATAATCAAGCATAAAGGTTATTTTCTTAATAATTTGATTTACTGTAGCTGTACAATCGTATTTGTGATGAATCAACAAACATAAAAAAAGGATTATGCAATAAATTGTTCCGAAATTTCCACTATCAGAATGGAAGTTAAAAACAATAATAAGACACACATAGGTATGAAACATAATTGTCCATTTGAAAAAAAACAACTAAGAAAGTTAAAGAATAAATATAAAAGGTGGCTGAGATAATAAATAAAACAACAATTGAAATTCAAAACTTAAGGAGAAAGCATTAACATCTACTTTGTTGAGTATAAAAATCATATGTTAGAACAATGGTAGAATGATAGGTTGAACGTGTGACCTTTGCAACCAGAGTTCTCGTTTAAGATATCAATTTACAATTGTCTCTACAATGTTTAAGTTATTGATTTTCATTCCCTTTGTAACATAACTGTTTGATTAGGTAGTTGATTTTTGAAGGAGTTTATGATGGAGCATGGTGACCAGAATTAGATGTTCTAAAGCTGAACAATTTATTGTTTTATATTCTTATTTTAAAAAGCCAATAAGAGTGATGTTGACAGATGTATTTAAATGATGCGCTCGATTTGTGTAAGCAATGTAACTTACTTTATGAGAGTAAGTAGATTTATAGATGCACATCAGTACTGCTCAAAGTATAAGTTTATTTTCAAAACATTTGCAAAAGATAGGGTGACAAGAGACAACAATACGATGCTGAAAGGATTAAAATATATTTCTTAAATGACTTTCAAGTTATTTTTTGAGTCCCGGACGAAGTATCCACCTTAAACTCAATATTTATTGGAATAATTTTCCTCTGAATTATGGTTAGTCCTTCATTCCGTAGTTTTCGTTTCATATTTCTCTCATGGAACCTGGAATGATAGTCATTTTTGAAGAGTATTCATCAAATCTTTAGCGATTTTTCGTTTGTTGTGTCGTTAAAACTTTAACCTGGCCTTCATGGAGAAACGGCAAGTCAAGTTTCTATTTATAATCAACAGGAATAAACTTCAAAAACTTATGTACTGTCAGTTCTAAGTTGGTATTTTTGTTGCAATCCTTACTGTCTTCTACAATTATAAGTCTGAAGTCTCTTATTTGACTTCCAATTCATCATTTACTTTGTTACAATGTTCAATTTCTTCCTAATACTTTTATTTGAAATGTTCAATTACATTTACTGAAATTTTGTCATTTGATTTTCAACAGCTTATTATTGCATTATACCGTCAACATGGTAACAAGAAATTGAAAATTCTAAAAAAATATCTATTTCCAGTCTGACTTTTAATATTCTGTAGATAATAAGAGTTTAGTTTTAAGAAATATCTAATACTATTTTGTATATTTCAAATAGATTTATCAACAATGAAGTTTAATACATAATTTTGTTATTCTATTATGTCATACAATTTTTCAATTGGTGGTCTCATATACATCATCATACAATAACTTTACATTCTTCGTGTTACTCTGTCCTATTAACTAATCCATAGAAGTGTACATTAAGTTGAATTTCATTATAAAATACATTCATTGTCATTATTACATTTATGTCAAACATCTAAACCTGGATATTTTCCAACAGTTTATTCATAGTATTTTAGAAAGAAGAAAATGTTTACATAT